AAATTCAAATATTGCATGATATAAAATAGCTAAAGAAATAAATCAATTTTTTTTAAGGGGAGGGGAGATGGCGTCATTGTCGGGCGCCGTATGTCTAAGGCCGGCACTGAACTTGTTTCTCCCATAAAAAATATTTACTCCCACATTGCTACGTTGGTTGGCCCATATTGTAGCTATCTGCTAAATATAATATTTATTCAAAACCGGCCTGGCATCTAGAGTAAATTTGTTTTTAGGGAGAAACGAAGTTGATATTCGTTCTTAAGAAAAAAAAAAACGTAAATGCGATGTATTGTAACAATCGAAAAGTTAAAATTTTGAATCCTTCCAAATGCATACAACCACAAAAATTGTGATAAATCCAGAAGGGCTCCACCAATTTACACGAAAATTATTAGGCATTTAGAGCCTTACACGCTCCATGGTCTGAAACCGACCTTCGTAAACAAATAAGAACCAAAGATAAAAAAATAAAAAGTGTTGAGAAGTTTTTCTTAATTTATAGTTATTCGCTTTATTTATAGTTATTTATACTTATTTGGATTTGTTCTTTGACTAAGTGTGCAAGTGGGTGCACTGATATAAAAAGAATGAGAATTTGAATTACATGTAAAATCAGATTATGCCTGAAGAGGCGAAAATTTCGATTAATTTAAAATAAAGTTATTTTTTATCGAGAATAAAAAGTTCTTTTTCTATTTAAAGTTAAAGAATAAAATGAAATGGTAATTGATGTGGTTTGGGAGATAATTAATTCAACTTTCCAACAGTTGTACTAACGATGAATTTGGCGAAAATCCTAAGAAGTTATGAATGCTTTAATTATCGGGCGGGAAAAAAAATCTCTAGGAAAATCAAGTATTAAATTTTGCATTATTTTCAAGAAAGTTTCAAAGAATATTAAAAACTTTAACTTGCTTTTTCATAACAAAAATTTGATTGGCCAACTTTACTAGAAGCGCTTTTTGGTTTTTATAATTTATTATACATTATAACTCATTTAATACGAAAATCAATATTTTTTTCTCATTCTGCACAAAATAGAAAACGATTGGTATATAATAACCTAAATAGCCAGGCAATTGCAAAGCAAGAAAAAAATAACTTAAATTTTGTTTGAAATTATACGGGTTTTTTTCTCTACTTCTAGAGCCCAAGAGAATAAACAACACCGGGACATTTGTCGAACATCCTTCTGGTCGCACCCTGCCTATAAATGAAAGAGGAGAAGTTTATTTTTGTATATTATTTTTCAAAGGCTTTTCTTTTCTTCTTTTTTTTTTTGTAGTACACAATTGCATTGTTAATTTCTCATCGAATCCAATGGTAGAGCATTAATTTTGACGCTTTTCTTCTCCTTCGAGTGGGTATAGTCAGGTAATCCTGAAATTTGGGGGGAAAATGTTATGAAGGTAAAGAAACTTTATTTGCGAATAACTCAAAGAGTATGTATTTTTACTTTCCTACCGCTACTATGTAAGAAATGTATAGCGATCGAACCAAATTGCTTATGTGCGATTTTCGACGGATCTTTCCGTTTCAGAGCCCTAACCAGAGTCCGAAACACACATTTTCAGCCATTGGTCTGTCTGTCTGTGCTAAGATGATCTCGGGAACAAGTTGACCGATTTCGTAGTTCTTTTTTATTTTTCTGGAGAGTTTTGTGGTTGTGACCCACAACCGATGGTTGTGACCCAAATCGGGTGCTCCCTGTGCAATATCGGCTGCAACAATTTTGATATAGTTTTCCTAAAATGTTCTACTTAATGTTCTTTCAATTTTCGTACATGTAGTAAATTCTCAAGAAAATGTAAATCAAAAAGTTACAAAGGCAAGAAAAATATTTTGGGGCCTAACTCGCAAAAGATATGTTATGGTATGGTAAAATTTATATAGAATCTTTTGAAAGGCAAAAAAAAACCTACAAAACTAAAAAAAAAATCATAGCAATCAAACCATTATTAGCGACGATACAGCGTATTTAATTTTCTACACATGATTAAATTACTTTTCTACCGCTACTAGTGATCGGTAAGAAAAATATGGTGATCGCATCAAATTTCCGTTGTGCAGTTTTCGACTGATATTTACATTTCAGAACTCCCTGAGTCCAAAACACACATTTTTCAAAAATCAAAATCCAAAACAAAGAATATGAGCTTGGCAGTAGAACGTATGCTAAATATTTTGAAAAAGACATCTTTACTCCAAATCCGATTATGATTTTTTAAGAAATTCAGTTAACTTTTAAATGACTATATACAACACCAACAAAAAAGTTTTTACTTTTCGAGTTTTTCGGAAATCTAATGTCACCGCCCCTCGAAACTTTTATTACACCTTCTTTTTGAGAAGTATGTTGTATATATAAATAGATAAATTTAAAGGGCTTCAAGGATTAGAGTGAAGCCAAGTTTCATTGAAATCGGTACATTCATTTAGGAGCTACATCAATACGGCACAGGTGATTTGAACGCCATCTTAAAAGAAAAGTAATACTGGGTGCAATATGTCACATTAATTTAAAGAGCATCTAGGAGAAGACTGTAACCAAGTTCCATTAAAATCGGTACGTCCATTACAGTATATCACATTTTTGTCGACTGCCATCTTGAAAGAAAAGGTAATGCCGAGTTCCGAGATTACCTTTATTTGTTCTCGGTCAATTACAAAGGTTGATTATTTAAAAAAAATTTAGACCAATTTAAGATAAGTTACAGTGTAACGAATGTTTATGCTGGTTTACTGATGGTTCACATTCCCGTTTACATTGCCATAGTTCATAAAACAAATCGTACTATTATCTTTTATCTGTCCGGTTTTCAGAAAATTACTATAATTCAATATAAATAAATATATATATATATATTAATTGTCCTATTTAATGTTGTATTAATTTGTCAAAATTTGGTTAGAAAGTTGTGTGAAGGGACACACCAGATTTTTTTAGTTCTAAATTTTTAAAACGGGTATATCTCGTAGACTTTGTATCAAAGAAGAATACTAACTAAAATTTTTACAATTGTACTTTCATATGCAACGTTTTTGAGTAGGGGAGTGCAATAATTTGTTTGTGATGTTTATGCTAGGGTCAAAGTGGAACTCATCCCTCTCCCTCCTTCCCCCCCCCCCAAGGACGATGGCGCATGTCTCCCATCTCAAAAAATTATTTCTCTCCTCTGAAAGCGTTGCAAATGAAAGAAAATAATAAAAAATTTAGTTGTTTTCCTTTTTCTTGTCGTTAAAAAGTCTTCAATTGGTTTCTATCATATGGTTCCTTCCGAAAATTCTTAACCCGTAAATATCCCCCGTCCCAAGGGTGCCCATCCTCCCCAAGGTCGATGGCACATGTACCTCCTCTGCTCGATATTTTATTGCTATCTTCTTTTTAAAATCAGTGCAAGCGAAAGTATAATTTAAAAAATCATAGATCATATACAATTATTCTTGGTGCTCTGTTTCAAATTTTCCTCTTGTACCCTGGTTTAAAACTTTTCATTCCGAAATGCCTCCTACAAAAATGTTGATGGCGCAATTTGCGCCAGGCAACCCCTTCTGGGCAGCTCTGGAGGGGCACTTTTCTCACATCTCTATCTCAACGAGGAAATTTGATTTGTGGTGGATCTCTGGTATCGAAAACCTTGATATTCACTGATTGCTCTTTCAAAATATGTCAGTATTCTGTGATACAGCGCAATCGAGAATATCCTGTAAGTTGTGTTAAGCAAGGATATACCACGGTAGCTGCTGCAATTGGTATGGTCTCCTTTACCTTTAAATATTAGCACGATAAGGCTCTCGGTCCAATCCTTAGGAACTCTCTATTTTCCCCAGCTTCGCATCAGCAGTTCGTGAACTTCTTTGGCCAAATGAACAGATGAAGTGCCACCCACTTCTAAAATATCTGATGGTGTTCCATCCGGACTAGGCGATAAGTAACATTCCAGAGAATAGAATTTAAAGTCCATCTGTCTTTATACATAATACGATAGTTTTTCGCAGTAACAATCCCTTTTCCGGCTCCCAGGAGCGATGGATTTGATGAATGTCGCATGAAATGGAGCAGTGACGAATCATAGTTACATCTATCTGAAATTTTAGGGAAATAAATGGAAAGAAATTTCATTTACAAATAACTTAAGAACTATACATTTGTTCCTTAATTTGATCCACGATTGCTTGAAAATTTACTAAATTCCCTACAAAACTAAAAAGTTCACTAAATTTCTGAATTTAAAAAGTAATTATCGAAATTGGACCATCATTAACACAGATAAAGTCCATAGTTTAGTTGGCACCTCCCATCCATATTTTTCGGCTTGACACATAAATAAAGCGTATAGTAAAGTACAAATGTTTGGGATTATAATTTTGAATGAACAAACGTGATTCGTCTGAGAACAAGAAAATGATTTATTCTTTTTCGTAATACATATCATTAACTTAATTTAATATTACATTGTCGGTTGTTCGCAAACCAATATTCTTTGCGAATTATTCGCACGTGCCAACTAGTACGACCTAATTTTCCATAAAAAATAAGAGGAAAATAGAATCACAGTGATGGAGCTCTGTTTCTCATGGGTTTTTTTTTTTTTTTTCAGTGTTTGCAGTTACGAAGTGTAATAATCAATTACCTTAATATAAACTCAGTTCAACTTTGTAGCAGTTGCGATAGACATTTTGGCTTGATTTGAACATTTCACAAACTATGAGGAACAATTACTTTTTTACCTATGCTAGTGTTTTTATTTCTTTTTTTTTTTATGTTATCCATCTGTTATCAGTAACAAGAGAAAGAAAAAAAAAGTTGGGTTTAGCTCTAATGCAGCTATTATTAAAGTTAGATATTGTGTTTCACATAGTTGGTGAAATTTCTAAACCACGTGAAGAATTAATACGCTAATCAACATTTGTAATAAAAAATATCGATACTTAACTTGAATGATCGACATGGTACTATTATGACAAGTAAATAAACATAACCTTCTTAGTATCCGCCAGATTTGATCTGGGAGTAGTAAGTTTTAGAAGTTTCATGGATCAAGAAGAAGAGGATTTAATAATTGCCTGCTGCTTATATGAAATCTTATTAGAAGAACAACGGAAAAAGGAAAGAATAAGAAAAAAACGATGGATTGATAATTTAAAAAAGTTCAGAGAAAGACAGCTAGCTCGTAAACATCAAATCTCTTCTCAGAAACTCCGAAGAAATGAACATCTTGGTTCTCATCCAAAAGTGGTATGGCCTGATTATATTTGAACTATGTCATTAAGTAATTGTCCCTTAGTAATAAAGCATTGATATACATTGTATCACTGAAGTGGGTAGTTATATTTGGAATAATTTCAATAACTGAAATATCAATAATAAAAACTATGTCATTAACAACACTTTGATTTATAAATGAACTTAGAAATTGTCATATATCGAGTAAATCATGTCTTTGCTGAAAAACTAACCAATCGTATACAAAAAAAAATTATTTGATGGGGACAATCTTCAGTTTGATGGTTTATACCATTGATCTATCATTTTGGTTAGTAGGTCACATTGATATCTTGACTAAGTGCTGTGGGCCGCATTGAGACTCCACCCAACTCCCACAGCCCATGGCTTGTTATAAAAAAAAACTCTTGGTCTGTAAATGACATTCAGTGTTAATATGAGCTTTTAAGAGAAAAATATCCATGTAATAAATATTGTAGTAACATCGTGTTTGAGTAATTTGCTAAATTTTGTGTTTTTGAAATTTTATCATTTCATCAAAGAAATTTTGAGGGGCCATGTAATAAGTAAAGAGCCAAATTGAATGTGCTTGCTAGCCATTGTTTGGAGACCTCTGGTTTATACCATTAGTGAACCTTTTTATAAATTGAGGCTGCATATTTTTTTCATTTATAAGTAAATACAGTCACCCATTTACATACATCTGATTTGCTTTCATTTTCATTTTTTTACTAACCAAAATAATAAATTTTAGCACTAAATTAATAAATATTATGCAGAAACTAACATGCTGGAGGTTCCTATCCTGGGGTTAAACTATCAAAGTTTTTTTATCAATAAAATATTCTTTAATCCATTCATAGAAAAGGACTGCTTCACAAGTGTCACTTCAACATTGATGAGCAGATCTCACTCTAAATGAAATTCTGGAAATGGCACAGTTTATCCAAAAGTACATAGAATTCTCTTGGTAAGGACCCCTTGGGAGATCTTTCATTTTTTTTTAGTTAGCTGAAGTTGAAAGAGGCGGCATAATTAAGACCCTTTATCTCAATTGAAAATGGCATCTATATAGGAATTTCTTTATCTCTTTTGAGTGAGCAGAAATACATTATTGCGATTGAAATAATAGTAGATGCATCCATGAACATTGTTGTTAAAACTCGGTCTTTTTCAGGTTGTCTATTCCACCATATTGGAGTGACTCTTGTGAAGTGGTACCGAAAGATAATTTACACTATCTTATCTTAAACAATATTTTTTGTTCTATATCATTTGGTCTACCATATACTGATTCTTTCCAAGTTACTAAGGCAAGCGAACATATTGTAATAGTCTTCTATTATGTCAACTACAATATGATCAAAGGCTTGTCCAAATGCTTTATTTATTGTGACAGTAAACTATATTTATAAGATGACTAATTGCCTAATGTTTTCTGGATTAATGTACGGTTACTATTTGGTTCCTATGAGTCTTATCATGAAGTTATTTAAAACTTTGGACAAACTCTTTAGATCTGTATATTATTAGTATCATATATCAACCCAAATTTTAAACCAGTTGTGATTTAATGTGTAATCCATACAGAATTATAACCCAAACTATGTCTTTGCTTAACCTTGTTATGCTTTTCGCTTAGTGGTGGGATGTTCAGTGGCAATCTTTTTATTTTAAACAGTTGTTTCATTCAAGACTAAAAGTAAAAGTTAACGGAAGAGACAAGTTTCAAAACTCATCAATGGTTCATATAAACAATGAGTCAATTTTCAGCAGGAAAATAGCAAATCCAAGTTCTATAGTTTTTTAAGTGAGTCATGTTTTTTATTGAATCGAAAATAACAACTAAAGAAATATTTAATTTAATGAACTTAGATTTTATCATTGTTGACATTATTTACAGACGAGTGGCTAAACGAAGCTAAGTTCTGTTTAAAAAAAAAAACACATAAATGATTCGTGATTTTTTTTATCAGCATCCAGCTATATTAATGTTACTCCACTTTTTTCACGATTAATAATCTTTAAGTCTGTAGTAATTTAGTTCAGGTTTATTAGACAAATTCATGAGATTCATCTCAGGTTGTGAAAAGAAATGATATCTACTTCTATCGAGTCACCTAATTGTGCTAGTTTTTTCAGCAAAACTGACTACAATTAACTGTTGCAAAGCTTTTATTTATTGTTTTTTCATAATCTGGGATTTATTTTAATAGACATAATTGCCTAAATAAACTTTTTATTTATAAATAATAATAATAATGATATTTTTCATGCATAGTATTTACCAAACTGTGTATTTTCTCCCACATCTCTGTCATAGGAATTGATCTGTATTTATAATTGACAAATTTAATGTTTCTAGTCTTAAAATTTATGTTTAAAACAAAAGACCCTGTTTATTGCTTCAATTATTTTCATACAAACATAAATCTTAGGACTAGAAACATGAAATTTGTCACTTAAAAATATGGGAAAACTCCTTTGACAGAGATCTGGAAGAAAAATACAATTTCCAAAACACTTTACATGAAAAATATTTAACAAATCATTATTATTATTTGTATTTATAAATTTTTTTTTTTTTTTAAACTATTATTTGTTTATTTAGAATTATTACATTCTGTCACATCAAGGACATTTATAATAGTGATCAGAGAAAGCACACTCACACTCTATTTACAATAAAAAAAAAAAATAAATAAAAAAAAAATAAATAATACAGAAACTTAATAATAATAAATACAATAAAATAAAATAAAAATAAATACAATAAAATAAAATAAATGTATATAAACAAAAGAACTAACCTAATCATACACACTCGGGCTTGAGTGGAGGATCTGGCCATTGCCAAAACTCCAATAGATGCTTATTTACAAAAGGTCTCTGGGCCACTGCCGCTTCAACCTTCGAGGAGGATTGTAAGGATGGGTGGTGCTGGATAGAGATTGTGCAAGGGGATTTGGATGATAGGTAAGGTTTTGGTGAAATTTGGAGAATTTTTCTGGAATAAGGTCTAGGACAAATGGGATATTAAGGTCATGGTGTAGGATTTTGTTATTTACATAGAACGGAGCATCAACTATTGTTCGAAGGACTTTAGATTGAAAGGATTGAATACGTTTGATGTTAGAAGCTTTTGCTGTCCCCCACAGTTCAAGTCCGTATGTCCATATAGGTTTCAGTATTGTCTTGTAGATAAGTAATTTGTTTTCAATAGAAAGTTTGGATTTTCTGTTTAGTAGTCTGTATAGCTGGCCGTATCGTCGGTTGAGTTCTTGTCTTTTGAGTCTAGTATGTGGGTTCCACGTTAGTCTTCGGTCTAAATGAAAGCCAAGATACCGGACTGTGTCTGAGTAAGGAAGCTGGATGGAATTAAAGTGTACTGGTGGACAGGAACTGCGTCGGAGTGTAAAGGTAATATGTTGGCATTTAGATTCATTAACTTTAATGCGCCAGTTATTACACCAGTGCTCAATCAAGGTGAGGTGGTTTTGGAGATTTAAGGATGCTATGTTGGGATCAGAGTTGGATGATAAGATTGCGGTGTCGTCAGCGAATGTTGCAAGAAAAGTATCGGGATGAACAGGGATGTCAGCAGTAAAGAGGATGTAAAGCACGGGACCCAAGACGCTGCCTTGGGGAACACCGGCTTTAACGGAGTAGATATTGGAAAATTCTGTTCCACAGCGAACTCGGAAGGAGCGGTCAGAGAGGTAGGATCGGAGGACTAGGTACAAGGACTGAGGTAAATGGATTTTAAGCTTGAAGAGCAGTCCGGAGTGCCATACCCGGTCAAATGCCTGTGCAATGTCCAGAAATGCACCCGAACAGTATTCCTTGTTTTCTAGGGCTGAGGAAATATGATCAACAACTCGGAGTCCTTGTTGAACAGTGGAATGTTGGGAGCGAAAACCAAACTGATGGGAAGGAATATTTTGGGATTCTATAATGGGTAGGATTCGTTTCAAAAGGATCTTTTCAAAAATTTTTGAAAGGATTGGGAGTAGGCTAATTGGTCTATAGGATGTTGAGATATTGGGAGGTTTGCCTGGTTTTTGGAAAAGGATAATAGTGGAGTGTTTCCATAGCAGAGGAAAGTGGGTGGTGCGTAGGATACAGTTGTAGATATATGTAAGGAATATGACTGCTTTGGATGGAAGTTGTCGAAGGATTTGAGGGGTAAGGAGATCATGTCCAGGAGCTTTACGGGGGATTAATTTTTTTAATTGAAATTTCACTTCGGAAGGATGAATAGCTTTTGGGGGCAAGGAAAGTGGGATTGGTGATGTAAGGAATTCTTCTACTGTTACGGTGTGGGCAGGATGGGATTCCGGATGTGAAATAAATGTATTGGATAGGTGAATGGCGAACTCCTCAGCCTTATCTTCGTCAGATGCTGCCCAGGAGCCATCATCTCGTCGGAGGGGATGGGAAATGCGGTGAGGATTTAAGATTTTGGTAGTGGTTTTCCAAAGGGAATTGTCGCGAGAAGAAAGGGAGGATAGGTAGGAGTTGAAGGAATGTGATCTGAAGGTGGCTAATTCCAGTTTTAATTTTTTGCAGTAATAATTATAGGAGCAGCGGTCGGTAGGATGTCGGGTACGTTGCCACAATAATCTGGCACGGCGTTTGGTTTGGATTAGGTCAAGGAGGTGTTGGGGTAGAATGGTCTTTTTAGGAATTCTGGAGGAGTCTTTTGGGAAGGAAGCAGTCCAGGCGGCTTGTTGGATTGTGGTAGTAAAGGAATTTACGGCACTATCAAGGTCATCGGGAGTTTTGAGGGATATGTTAAGATCAATTTTATCGGAGATGATTTGGCGGAAAAGGTCCCAGTTAACTGGGCCCCTAATAAATGACGGTGGAGAAGGTTTGGGAACGGGTTCAAGTGAAACATTAAGGATTAGAGGACTATGGTCAGAGGAAAGATCATTTAGACGTGTAATGGAACAATTGAGGGGACTTAAGCCGCTGTGGAGAAAGAAATCAAGAAGATCAGGATTACGGTT